TTGTGATTCGCTTCTCAAAGTTCTTGGTTGTCTTACTGGGATTAAGATAGATTTGTAGAAGTGTGAGGTATATACTGCCAGATTTTGTAGTTGAAGGTTGATGAGCTGCGGACTCATAAACGCGATCACAGTAGCACAATGCCAGATCAGGTAGATGAAGCTGATACAGGAAAAAGGTAACTTTAGTTGGCTCATGGACTGCAGATTAGAGATACACATGAGTAAGTTTAGATGGTAAAACACTTGACAATTGATGAACTGATCAATCAACGCAAAGAAGGAAATGATTCCAATGAGTGCAAGGGGTTCTCTATAGCTTTCATGTGTAAGATTATCAGCCTTTTTGCATAAATACATCATTACCTTATGAACATAGAGGGATAAGGCAAGTTCGTGTTGGTTCATCTTTCCTAATAAAACTGCACGTTCTTCATACAGTGCATCAGGAGGAAGACGCTTCAATAAAGCCTCAGGGTTATAACCTGAGATGCCTTCTAGAGCAGATAATAACTTCTTCCTTGATGGGGAATGAGCCTTCTCGTCCCATTTATTTTGGCCACTTAATTCCGCATGCAAGTCAAGAACTTCAGAGAGATAGATTTGCACCTGTCATGAATGATAGAGTGACATTGAGCGATATGATCAAAATTCATTACGAGAATGCAATTTGTTTGGTCACATCCAGTAAGAATACACGAAGAAAAAAATAATATCCAGAGACTAAAAGCAAGTTACCATTTCATTTTGCAGGTTTCCTGATATAGCACTTTCATTCATTGCGAGCATCAGTTCTAGATACCTTCCTTGCATGTTTGGAGCATGCTGTTTCAGATAAGAGTTGACCATATCTGCAGGTATGTTCCCAGATAAAAACAGCTCAATTGTTTGTGTTGGACACCTTTCGAGAATGATCATTGAGAACTCTAGAACAAGCATAGGATCTGTTCCACAGAGAGGCTGCATAAGAAACCCCATAAAAAAGATTCTCAGATACTTTTAGCAAAGGAAGAGTACGAACTGCAACCAAGTCGCCTTCACAGTTCACAGACATCAAGCTTCAACAGTTCTGCTCAGGCCTAGATTCTGAAAGTTTCTCAATAAATTCAATGACCATAGGAGAAGGTGGCTAACAAGCAGCAGAGATAATGGAAGCCAACCCTAGCAATATATAACCCACTGTGGCATAAGTATAGTAATATATTTAACCAAAGTTTTTGGTACTTAAGCAAGTGCATATAAATAGAAAATGTTTTTTTTTTTTTTGTAAAGGAACTAATACAGACCTGGCATCATTACCTATGGCCATTGAGTTTCATGGTAGAGGAAAGAAAACCACAGGTTGCACAAAGGCCAACTATCCTTTCTAGATCCTGGAAGATGGTTGATCTAATGCTTTGGTCTTGCTAATTCTCATTCAATTTTCCTAGAAAGATATATGAACTAAATGAAAAAGAGGTACCAGAATAGAAACTAAAAATACCTTGAGATACTCTAGAATGTCCTCAGGCTTGAACTTATGCGTAACCTCAGATTTGCCTGAGCTTGACTCTTCGACTAATTGATGCAGAAGCTTTAGAGCTTCACGGTGCATGGCATTGCTTCTATAAAGCTCCAGCAAAGCAGAATAGTGATGTCTCTTTTGAAGACTCTCCTCACATATTTTTAAATCACAATAATTATGGCCTCTGAGTAATTCTACAGAAGCTGAAGACTGTCCAGTAAGCAGAAGTGCTTGGAGTAGTGCAGTGTCTAGGATAGCTGCCATTTCTCTAGCCCCTGAGTTAATCGCAACATTGCCACGCCCCTGAGAGATCATAAACAGTGTCAGATAATAGAAGAAACCAAGCGGAACAGAAGCATTACATGTAGTTACTTTTCTTGTCAAAAGTGAACTACCTAGAGTTACCATTATTATACTTCAAGAATATGCTTTTGTAGGCATTGTAGCTGCAAACTATGTGAATTAACAAGTTATTCGAAAGGATCAGCTTCTACCTTGCCAGACTTTTTGACCCTACTAGAGTCGTAATGTCCATAATTATCACCAACAGCACCTAAAACAACCTCCTCTGTCCCCTCGGCAGTGGCCTTTTCAATTATGTTGTATCTCCGTTTCTGTAAGTATTTGATGAGAGCCATGAGAGTATTATGGCTCATTTTCTTGGACTCAAGTGCGGAATGCTCATCAAAATCCCCAAAATGTGATGCAGATGAGGGATCCATATCATCTGATGCACCAGAAGAACCTCTTGATAGATGTACAGCATCTGGGTCACTGTCCACTAGCTTGTCTGTTTCAGGAAGCAAAGTTGTTTTGGGAAGAACTATTGACGGATACATAGAAAGTACATAGGTGATATCTACTTGGGCAGCTAAAAAGTGTTCCATAGCCTCCTCATAACTCCCATTGTCAAAAAGATGGTGAGCATATCTGTGGAAAGTGAAAAACCCTATCAGCAACTTGTTTAAAGAAAAATCATAATAGGAACCTTCAAAGGAAAAATTACTTTTCACCAAAAAAGGAGAAAATAATAGAGTCTGGCTGCTATTACATGCCACACAGAAAATCATACATGTACAATGAAAATCCATTTGCTAGACCGAGCCTTGCGATTAGCGAGAAACACATCAATCATAGTAGTGAAACAAGAACTAAGTGATGCAAATAGTTCATCAGTCAATTTTGGTAAATATCTACCTTATGTGAATGGACCCCTCCTTTGCAGCTCGAAGGCTTGCATCTTCAGGAGGAAGTAACTTGCACAATGCCAGAGCTTCTTCAAAATTTCCAGATGCAGTTAATTGCACGATCTGCACCATAATCATAGGAATATTTTAAGAAGTGCAATGTCAATGTGTCAAATCAAGTTTATATGAGCACCAAAAGCAAAAACATAATCGAAATATGTCTAAGATGACCCAGGGCAGTCAACTTGATTTCAAAATTCAAGAATCTTTCTTTCCTCTAGACTGTATTCTTTGATACCCACCTACCAGTCATCACAAGAATTAACCTAGAAACTACCAGTCAAGAAAATTCTAACCCAAAAACCAAAGGGGTACAAGATGTACCTGTGCACCAACAGGAACAGGAAAGAGTCCGTGAACAGAATTATCTAATGCAACAATTACTGCATTATTGCTCTGAACAAGACGACGGACATTCTGAAGAACGATGGTCTGAATCATCGGGTATGGAACTCGAAGAGACCGTATCTGCATTCATTTTACAAAACCTCGTCAGGAATACCATCTCCAGACAAAGATAAAGAGGAGAGGAACTTCTCATGCTCTATGCTGCTACCTCAACACGCCTTGGAAGCAGGGCAATCGCATACGGCTTCTGAACCACAACAACAGAGGGAGCTTCCGACCAACAAATCCTTTCAGCTTGATGAAGCTTGCCGTTTTGATCCACGAAGACTCCAATATTCTCCTGTAAGGAGTTGCAAGTGATAGCTTTTTACAGTCATTCACGGGTGAGAAGTAAATGGCAACAGTCCAGAAGAAAACAATTCGTCCAACAGTTGGAGCCTGGAGGGCTGAAAGATGAGTGCTACCTTGCCAAGAAGAAGTTCTCCTGAAGGAAGAGGGACGACCAGAGGTGGAGCCAGTCTACCAGAAGGAAACACCTCGCTCAACGCACCACTAGTGGCGTTCAGTATCACGTATTCCTTCTTAATCCCAAGACATATGTTTTCGCCACACCAGGACATTGACTTCACCATGTCAGGGACGCCAAATTCTTTCACCTCCACGAATCCTCGTCCTGCTGAAGAACACCTCCAAAATTTTCAGTTCCAGACCAGAAGACGCATCGGAATTTCAGCAGCAACTGTGGAATTCGAAACGAGAAACTCACCATCGTGGCGGATGATGCAGACTCGCTTTTGCCTCGCGAAGCACAGATAGCCTCTCCGATCATCCCAGGAGTAAACATTGGCGCCTTTGGCTTTGGTGATCACAGCGAAAGTCTCCAAATTAGGGAGTCTGTGAAAAGCGATCGATTCAGAGAGCGAGAGGAGCAGCTCTCGCGAGGCCAATACCTCCATTGCCAACAAACTCTTCTTGGAATACCCGTTCACTGTCCTCTCCAGGGCGTATCCTTCCTTTCGTAGTTCTTGAGCTTGGCCGAGGTAATCCGGAGACGACGAAGATCGATCGGATTCGGCAGCGTAGACTCGAAGAGCGCCATCGGAGCAGCCGACGAAGAGCTTCGAAGCGTAGGACGCGACGGCATCGATTTTCGTCGGACAGCCTCTGAGGAGCTCGAAGGAATCATAGGCACTGTGCACCATATTTCCCCCCCGCCCTTTGGTCTCCGCCTGATCTTCCTTTCTCCGATCACAATTTCATTACACGCACCGCACCGAAAGCTAGGCGCTCGTCGGTAATGGGCCAACCCGGCTAGCTCAAATCGGCCCGAGATCCAAATGCCGGACGCAACAGTCCTACGGTTCTCAAACAAATGGGACCCCGCCGACGTGGCCAGAGGTCGGCGAAATGATGACTCTAATTGATTGGACTTCCAAACCGGACCGTCAAACCGGTTTTTTATATTATTGGACCCGGTTTAACAAGTAGTATGGTTCCTAGAATAGTACAATGGTTTATGTCGATTCACGTCGATTTAACAACATATGTAAAAATATGCAAAATCACAACACCCAAACGCTTATATTTGTATCCAACAAATATCATCAACATTTAATTTAAACAAACCACAAATTAATTCTTTTAATTACAGTCACTAGAACTATCTAATTTATATGTCAATGCAAAATTAATCATTCCAGTCATATCGGTGTACTCAAACCGATTTCATGATCGCATTCGGTTATTCTTGGTTAAATCGACCGGCGTTCCACGTGACAACCACGAACCGGACAGACGAAAGTGTGACATGTGTCGACCTTCAAATGGCCCCCGGAATCAGCCCCTGAAATTCGCCGACTGCGGCGGACAATGTGTCCGTGAACTCGAGTAGTTGAGTAAAGAAAGAAAAGGTTGAGAAGTAAAGGGAAGGGAAGAGGTCACCGGAGAGCGAAAGAGACTGCGAGGAAGAGGACGAAAAGGAGTTGAAAGAGAGACGAGATCAATGACTCTGGGTCTGATCAATGCTAACCCAATCGTCCACGCTAAGAAGGAAAGGGTCGCCCGATGCGAAGATCCCCACTGCGACGACGCCGTCGATCCACTCGATATCTATGATATCCTTTCTTTTCTTTTCTTTCCCCCGCAAATCGCTTCTCGTTTCCTGATGTGGGTTTCCCTTTGGTTGGATTGAGTCGTGCAATTTTCTGTCTGTTTCTTTCCTTTTTGTCATGAACTGATTCCGATGAGTGGGGAACCTGAAATGGCGATCCTTGACTAAAAGTTGACAAATTTCGTGAGGGATATTAGAGATCCGGAGCACCCGTATTCACTGGAGCAGCTCAGTGTATTGTCGGAGGAATCAATTACAGTGGATGATAAGCTTGGTCGCATCCTGTGAGTCTTTCTGCCTGCTGCTAACTTGAATCGAATAAGGAGGAAATGTTATCCAAAATATGATGAGTTTCTCGTACTTAGAGCTGAGTTGATTTGTTGTGCGATTTATTCATCTGGGTAGTTTAGATTCAGACTTCTATGCTCTTGCCATGGATGTTCTTAAGTAGTGAGTGGGTGTTGTGTCTTTGGTGTTGTTCTATAAGATTACATTCACCCCAACCATTCAGCATTGCAGCATGGCGACTGTAATTGGTCTATGCCTTAGAGTGAAGCTACAAGAATGTTTCCCTCCTCATTACAAGGTCAGTTCCAGGGATGTGCTGTTAGATACGGATATGCCAATCTCGCTTTGAGCTAGACCGTGATTCGCTCACCAGGTTTCAGAGGGATGCTTGCTAGAACTTGGCTAATTTGAATCTACAAGTTCAGTTTGAGCTGAACCAATTCTTCTTCTCAAGTCAGATAAAAGCAGCTATGCCTTTGTTGTTACTTTTTCTGCAGGTTGACATAAAAGTTTCCCCTGGATCTCATGCAGATGAAGAAGCAGGTAAAGTTTCCTCTTCTAGGCTTGATTTGGAACCCGGCATTAGCATGACTGCTTTCAAGTAATGTTTCTCAATTCGTCCCCCCGCTATCATGTCTCAGTTTAGATTCCCTTCATCAATCAAAATTTTAAAAAAAAAACACATAGCTTAGTCTCCTGTAAATCGTGGGGCTTGATATGTACACAGATGGGTCGTTATTCTACTCACTCGTAACTGACATTGTTGCTTCAATAGTTTGATCTTTCCAAGCCCGTGTTTTGCAGTGAATAAGCAGTTAAATGACAAGGAAAGAGTTGCTGCTGCCTTAGAGAATCCTAATCTCCGCCAACTCGTCGATGAGTGTCTTTACTCAAATGAGCTGTGAGCCTGTGACCCTACAAATATTGATGGAACTTAAACTGCCTTCTAAAAGTTGTTGTACAGAGTAACTCCTGAGGCCTGAATGCTGATAAGTTGTAGTGTAGTGTAGCGTTAGCGTGTAACTACTGAAGATGAATGATGTTAAAGTTGTGGCATAGTATAACTACCAAGCATGATTACTGCTAAGTTTTAGAACCGTGTTTTAACTACTGAATATGAATGCTGTTAAGTTGTGATGCAGTGCTTTTATCTTGCCTCTTCATGGATTAGTGCTTACAGAACTGCCAATTCATTACGTACAAAGAACGTAGGAAGAATAGAGTTTCTTGTACCATAAGCTACTTCCGTCGCGTAGACTTATGCTTTGGAATTTCTGTTCATGTTGTCGTAGCATTCGAATCCTACATCTGATTTTCCATTAGTTAGTTCACCCCATTCTAATTTCAATATGCAGTGGGCTGCTTGCAAGTTGCAAGTGCTTGCTAAGCCTTTATGGCTCGGAGCCAAAACTTGTCTTCCTTTCGGTTAGGCGAGATACCAATTGTATGCCTGAATTATGTCAAAGGGAAATTCTGTTTGAGATTTCAAATTTACCATTCTTACAATCGAAAGAGGCGAGTAGGAGAGAAATACATCAAGAAGGGAAAGAGCATAGAGTTGAGGAATATTTAGAGATAAACTGTCTTCTATCCGCATATAATAATAACAACTGTTAAACAAGAACATCAATTTGGACCGGTTATTCATCAACTCATCACTTCACTAATAATAAATTAGATCAGGACAGCTCCCTTTCAGTTGCTTTAAAATCCGCCATTTTGGATTTCTCATGGGTAGGTAAGACTTGGTATTTGGTGATAGGTAGAGTTATGGCTTCTAGCTGGCTGCTGGGGCCAGAGGCAATGGCTCCGGAGCGACCTGGTTCACAGCAAGACTGCTGGAAATTGGGATCGGCTTCTCATCCGATCCCCAGAATTTTGCAGTTCTTACATCATCTTGAACCATCATCTGGGAGAACTCGGCGTGATCGTACTGCAGTGTGGCCTTCCCGCCAAACTCTTTAGGAAGGTTGTCGGCGTCGAAGAGGGAGCTCATGAGCTCCACGCTCTCTTTCTTGTTCGGGTACACAAACTTCACCTTCTGTGAAGTTTTTGGATCCAAGAAGTATTTCACAGCCTAGTAGACAACAACATAGCATGTAGGGAAAATAAAGATCAATTCACTATATGACCAACCACACAATTAACAGACTAAGAAGGAGAGCAGACCTTCCAGAATGCTTCGAAAATTCTTGGCGGGCTGTACAGAAATGCAAGGGCGAGCCTCTCCGGGTAGTGATTCTGCAAAATGTTGATGATTTCACGAGCAGTTCTCATGGAGACGTTGGTGTTCAAGGAGAATCCCGATAAGTCTATCAACCATGACATTTGATCTTGGCCTTCAGGAAGGTTGAGAATGCTGTTCTCGATGAGATACACCAAATGCCGGATATTGTCCTCTGCACAGTTGGTGTTCTGCAACGGAGAAGGAAAGAATATAACTTTAGCAACGATCTCGGTTGGTTTTGTTAGGTGTAATTGGGAGATTACACATTGTAACCCTGGCACTAACCTGCATCCCTGGCCTCATAATCAGTACTGTCCTCCCAGCACGATCGCGAAAATTGGCTCGAAACACCTTGCCTGTCTCCCCTTCATGTGCTATTTCATGCTGTGCAGCAACAGAGTAGATCCAGTGAGCAACCACCAAAATTCCATAGCTTGTAATCCAACAACAAGAAACAAAAGAAGGCGATGCATTATTGCAATCAAATACCCAGCGGGTTTGTTCAGGCTTATATGTGGCTCTCCACTTGAGAGTCTCTTCAAGCATTTTAGTAGCCTTGTCAACATTCCAGTTCCTAGCTTCCAGGTATCTCCGCAGGCATCCATCAGTACAGTACTTTGCTTTCCTACCTGACAAAGGCCCTAAAGCAGCCCTTAGCTCATTTACCTACGAAGAGCGAAATATGGGATCATTAAACCAAAACGAAACGTAAACAATTTTACCATACTATATCAACTGATAGGATCGTAAAAACTGTTTATTGTCATTCAGATCGATACGATCACAATATTATAACAAATTCATGTCAGCCCGATTTAGGCCTTGGTCAAATTGGCAAATCAAATCAAACCCATTGTCAGGTTTTTCCCCAAACGAACAAACAGGAAAAGGCGTGAGGGATGGATGAGAGAGGGTATTTACTATTTACCTTAGCATCTCTCTGTGCAAGGTCAATCTCCTGACCATTCTGTTGCTTCCTTCGGAACATGATGGCGGGCGTGCCTCCCACACAAACAAAGTGGATCTTTCTAGAAAGGTCAAAAAACAAGCGCCATTCAAACATTTCAGGGTCATTATTATGACTATGAATCTGCAGCTTTGCATTTCTCTTTTCTTTTTGGGTGAAAAATGTTAATAAATCCCGCAAAAAAATGCAGGAATCGTGTCCGGTTCTGACCACGTGATCCAGCGTCGTAAGGAAATAAACAAACAACTCGGCTCATCACGTGGATTGACGCTTAATTTTTTTTTTCTCCTGAAAACAGGGGAGAAGAACAGGAAAGAGAGAAGAAAAAGTCTACGCAAGTGTGATTCTGATCTATCTAACTCTCCCGGATTTCACAAGTGACATATTCCCACAGTCTGATCGACGATTCCGATTTTCCGAGAAACCAAACGGAAACATCAGGGAAATGATCAGGCCAGCAGCCAGGCAATTTTGGAGAGGAATCCAAAACACGCCGGTAAAAAAAAAAAAACGAATTAAGCCAGAGAGAAAAATGAAATTCGTTACGTGATCACTGAGCTACACACGCGCGGCTTCAAAACTAATCGAATCCAGATCTAAACAACAGGCAGGCCAGGTGGATTGATCATCACTGAGTCAACCACAAAGAATTCACTCGCGGATCGAATTACACCTGATTTCATAATTTTCACAAGCAAACAAACGACCATGCAAATCCACGGAAAGAAATCGAGAGGATCGTCGGACGAACCTTTCAACGGTAGAGTAGATGAGCAGCTGTGATCGCTTCCTGGAGCACCGCTCGGGGAGGCGCTGTCTCAGTTTGACCGGCCAGATGGAGAGGCGGAGGTCGTTTTTTTTTTCCGGTGGATTTTCCTGGGCGGGAAATGTGCGGCGATCGATCGATAAACGGAAGAGGATATGAAAAAAAAGGCGAGAGAGTGAAAGAAGAGGAAAAATGAAAAAATGAGATTGGGGTGGGGAGGTGTGAGAGAGAGAGAGAGAGAGGGGTTATATAAATGGCGGAGTTCGTAAGCTGTTTGGTGATCAAGAAAATGTAAGCGAAGTGGCGGCCTCAGAGACTCTCTCTGATCGGTGGCAGAGAGTGGAATTCATATTTGGAAATATTTTATTTGGTAAATAATAACAGAAGATAAAATTTAATAATTCAATGCCGAACTAATTAAGGGGTTGGGATCCACGGAATCCGGTGTCGTTTTCTTTGGTGGATGAAAGTGACACGGCCGGAAATGTTGAGTTGGTCTTGGTGAGTGAGTGAGTGTGTGTGTGGCCATTTCTGACCGGGACCGTTTTTTTGCCATTTGTTGCTGAGGAATGAGGAGGTCGCTGGAAGCTAGCAGGAAATCAGGAACCCTTTTTTATATTTTCTTCACGAAAGCGAATTAAGACGACAATTTTGATAGGAGAGTTTCATCAAATTGGTGTAGTACATTTTTTTGTCCATTAATAAGGAATAAATGACAGTGAATGATATGTATTTGATTACACACGCACCATAAGGTTAATTTTAAATACAAATTAATCATCTTGATTTAAATAGGTCCACCGGTTTAATATTTTAATATAAAAAAAGAAAAGGAAAAAAAAAATACTTAAATCATAAACTAAGACCACCCAACCTAAATTACTAATTTTATTTATGCTTTTCTTTTTGTTTCCTAGCCTCTCGATTTTACGTGGTTCATTATCGATTGTCATCCTAATTATTTACGTGAATTCAAAAATCTTTTTGATGATTTATTTTGGGAGATAGTTTGATTGATTATTTAAATTTTTTGGTTATGGATGATATGAATTCGAAATTATTTATAGTTATCGATAATTATTTCAATCATTAAATTATTGCACTATATATGTTTTTTACGCTAAAACACATAAATGATTTTATTAACGATCTTTTAACTTTTAGTCAATTATAAACCACTAATTTTCCCGTTAACTATTTGATCTAGTTATGAAAATAAGATAGAGGTGTTTTTCTAAGCTGTCATGCATAATCGAAGATCAACGAGAGAAATCATTACTCACAATTTATCTTTGTGTCATATCATCATCTGTCCTTAGAGGGACTTGACGCACAATTTATAAACCATATTTAGTAAGATAAGGTACGCGTATGGTATGCATAAAATTCATACAAATATTTTAATTCATCTATAAACTTATGTTACGTATGATAATGAGTCAATAGTGATAAGACATTAAAATTAATTATTTTAAATATAAATTCATGTATAAATAGTTTTCAAATTTCCAATTTATTTAATTAAATATGAGTATTAAACATGTTGTTTGAATTTTATATGGGATTAATACATGAGTCAAATGAAAGAAAAAATCAATTTGTTTAATAATAGTATGAAAACGAAAGTCTGAAACGGATACAATTGGAGCTTTTACTAACTATGATATAAAGTCATCATTGACCATGTGAAAAATCTTACTCGAACCTATATGGAAATCCTTATTGACGAGGGGAGGTACAAAATCATTATTACTAGCAATTATAGGAACATACAAAGTCATAATTGTTAACAACTATGAAATTAAATTATTACTATCACCATGTACGTCCGTTTGTAATTTTGTATTAGGGGTCGTTTGGATGTGGAAATGTAATGGAGTAATTGGACCTAATTACCGCATAATGCAGTAATTGGGTTAAAAACCCACATTTGGGAGAACAAAAATGGTATGAAAATTGGACCATGGAAATTGGCTTCAATTACCACATTCATGGTAATTGAGAATACTACACCTCCCCCTAGTAATTTGACATTACCACATTTTCTTACTTCTTTTTCCAAATTCCACACCATCAATTCCCACAAAACTAAACCCTATCCAAACGTTGATTTTTTTTTCCAATTTTCACAAGTCAATTCCTTGATTTTGTAAAACATGGAAATTCAGACAAATTTCAACGTTTTAAAATTTCCACATCCAAACCAACCCTATATATATACTGTTAACAAATCTCCAGAGGGAGTGTTTCTCATAGCTTCAATAGCATTTTGCTTCGTGTTTCATGCAATTACATGTTGACTACTATTTTTTTCCCCATATATCATGCAATGACTACTATCGAATTTTTTATATATGCCCAAGAAATAAATGCAGCAAATTTATAATCTAAATGAGCCGATATAAATGAGTAAGCTTGGTCTAGTTATCATTACAGTTGTAAAACTTATACATATAAATACAGCTGTGAAACTTATACGGATCGCTCAAAATTCACTTGGGATGACAAACTATTTGATACATAAACGACCAAGTGTTTACATTGAATTATCGTTCCATTTAATTTAGTATGATTCTTAGCTTACATTTTTCAATTTTTAACTGTATTAGTTAGCTTGACAATGAAGAAGTTCCTCATCCTAGAGGTCTAAAATTCGAAACTAGCAATTTATAAATGTCAACAAAGAAATAATGCAACGCATTAATAATCTAAATTAGCTGATTTAATTGAGTAAGCTTGGTGTAGTTATTATATGATTTATATATCTTTTTTCCCCCAAATGATTTATAGCTATATATACTAAATCAATATCATTACCGACACATAAGGAAAAGAAGAAAGAAAATCAATACGAGACCGGGCCATGCAACCCATCTCTAGAATCAACTATGGGCCTTTCCTATTGATCCCTGAAAGCACAAAAATCCATCAGTTGTTAGCAGCATTTATTTTAAATTATACGTAAAGGCTGTGATATGGAACTAAAGCAATCAAGTCGTTGATGTCATGATGTGGACCCTTCGTATTCAATGAACTTCGAGTTCCAGTTTTCTTTGGACTTTTCATTGAATTGCATTTATGTGGGCTTGGCCCATTGGGGACAAAAGAAGGTAACTGGGCCAGTGTGAGCTGCCAAATCATTGTCACCAGCTGGTCCACGGCCTGCACAGATGATTTCGTTTATTTCTAATTTTCTATGCAATGCCATTGGCTCGATATTTCATAAGCTGGCGTTAGAAGATCAAGATTCAAAGCAAATTAGTAACGTGCAAAACACTGTTGGAACAAGATAAAAGATAATCGATTCAACAGTTAAATCCTGGAATACCGCCAGGTCTGGAAATCAAAAGAACGACAAGTAGGCGGATACAAAAAAAGGGCCTTTCTAGCCACCACATGGACTACCCTATTGCTATTCCGACCTACAAATCGTATACTCAACCCGTCCCCGAGTGAGAAGCAAAACAATGCACAACCTCCTCCAGAACACCCCCGCACCGACTATCTCTGGTATCAGCCCGATGTATCTTCTCGATGATGACCTTGACATCCCCCTCAAACCGGACGTTCTGAAGACCATGATTTATACACCAATAGAGCGCCTATTGAAGGGAGAGCAATTCAACGACCATTGGATCCTCGATGTCCCTAAACTGCGCCCCATGGGCCAGAAGGACCTCTCTCTGAGGGCTGTGAAGAACCATTCCCCCGCCCGAATGTGAACCAGCTCGCTTAGCCCCATCCCACGAACAAATAAAGCTTGAACCAGCGTTCGGACTCAATGGATGAAAGGTGGGCAAGGGATACGGAACTACAGGATCCACCGACAAATCACCACATTCCTCACACTGTTGTTGAATTTGACGCATCAAGGCCAGGAAGCCAAGCTGTTTGCCGTCAAAGACAACCCAGTTCCTGGATCCCCCTCAAACTATCAAACTTACTAAAAGAAATTCCTCTGTACATCAACTTACATGGAAGATTCTGGAATTATTATAAAGTTCAATTGATTCAACATACGCGATTTTCTAGCTATTACAGGCAGAAGGAGAGAGATTTTATTAAAATCGTTGCCAACATACGCGATTTAGCTTTAAAATCGTTGGAGTCTCTTACGATTGTACGTCGAAAATTCAGAGACTATAACTTTGTACTCAGTTAACCGATCGACGCAACTTTTTTTCAGAAGAATGAGTTTTCATGTATATAAGACGCAAATCGCTGGAGCCTCCAATGATTTTCTAGCTAAATTGCTGATGGCTTCAACAGCATTGGCGGATCCAGGGGGTGGCCACCCCGGGCCCCGGCCCAGCCCTCTTCTGGATCCGGAGTTAGAATAATCCTTATAAATTTGTCGATTTTAGTCATTAGGCCCAGTGTTATTTTATAATATGAATGTGTATAATTAGAAAAATGATTCAGATGAACATATTCAATTCACTACTCTAAATTTATCCTAGAAATTCTAGCCCCAAAGGTTTTTCGTCTAAAAAAACAATGAAAACTAAAAATCCTAAAGTCTAAAGCGTAAAAGACTAAAAGAAATATGATGTTTGTTCCCTTAAAATTTTACTAGAGCAGTATGGTGGATATAGGCATGGACACACAATGCAAATTGATTAGTCAATTGATTTGTCTAGTGTTGATGCTTCTCGTTTCAACAGCTACCACAGAGAGAACCTTTTCAACAATGAAACATGTGAAAACTGATTTGCGCAACAAAATGAGCAATGAATTTCTCGTTGATTGCTCAAGTATTTTATTTGAAACATAGTTGGTATGGATGTAGATTTCATTATTGATGCATTCGCTAAATTAAAAGACCGCCGTGTACAATTGACATTGTAAAAAAAACTATAATCATAATATTTTTTTTTACGATATCGAATTTTATAATGAAATGCGGCCCAGTGCTCTACTATGTTCTGGATCCGCCGCTGTTCAACCGTTTCGGTAAATCATGTCTGTTGGCAGCGATTTGGATAAAATCACCTCGATCACCAACGAGCAACGACCAAAATTGCTGGAAACTACAATGATCCAACTCAAACTTCTATATTTTGAGAAATTTTAGTGTATGCGTTGTACTGCAAAATCTTTTTTTAGCAAGTTTGGTATTTTGGAAGGAAAGAAAAAAAAAAAAAAATGCAACGGGACACCTCGTTACCATTGTTACGGCTATTAACAACGCACATTGTGAGCAAATGGACTGCGACCGAGAATAGCGATCTTCAATGGTACATAGCCTGCAGCTTAATTTTATATTATTATATATAAACAAATTGCCGCTTATAGCCTCTCTATATAAAATCCACACCAGCAAATTGTGGTTGAGAGAAAGCCACAACAACAACCCAATTCGATTGAGAAATCATGGCAACAATGATTCCCGCCGCAGTAGTCGCCGCCGTCGCAGTTCTTGTGTTGGGCGGCAGCACTATTTGCCCTTTCGCCGAAGGCAAAACCCAGGCAGCTGACACCGTGCCGGTGCTGTGCAACGGAAGGAATTTCACTGGCGGCGAGCTGCGTCAGGCCAGGGCGGCGAGGGACGAGGTTCTAGGCCGATTGGTATCCCAAACGCTGTCACGGCCGAACAAGCCAAAGGTCTGCACCACCATCGACGGCGGCGGCGACGGTAGCAAAAGTAGTTCTACGATCTTCGGCTTCGCTTCCTGCGCCACGTCGAAGCGATGTGGCGGCGGAGGCCGCGACCGTTGTTCCACCACATTCGAGGATTGCTCCACGTGTCTTGGCGCCGCCAGAGATCTGCTGAAGGATGTTTGCAGTAAGGCTACCGGCGGCCAGGTTGATCTGAAAATCGCCAATCCGAAATGTTTCATGAGATTTGAGAGCACCAACTTCTGCTAAGTTACCCTACACTACAGTCTTCTTAATTCCTTCATTGTACCGTCTCCTTAAATGCCTAGCTAGAGTTACTAATTAATACCATTGGAAGGTGATTTGATTTGCGATTTATACTTATTGGGTGTCATTAGTTTCATTTTCATCCATATGTTTTGCTTAATGTAAAAGAGGGTAATTGTCAAACAATATTATCTCTTTAAAAGAACAAGTTACAACTTTACTGTTTCTTAGAGTCACATCCCGCCACTGTTACTCGTTTGCCTTGTTTGCCTTTTCTTCTCAATTTTGATTGGCTCTTCTTCTGACATGGACAGCGGCTCCCGTCGCTTCAATTAGGAGAAAATCGCTTCTCTGCTTCTCCTACCGTCGTTCTATTAGTCTTCCCTCTACTTTTCATGCATCGCTTTTCGAGCCCTCTGCTTCCCTTGTTTTGAGGCGCCATGTTTGATCCCTCATATCTCTCTCTGTTCCCCTCCTTATTCTTTTGTTCTCCTGCATTCTGCCTCTCTCTCATTCTCTCATCCACTAATCTCCATCTCTCTCCCGTAAATCCCAGTCTCCCACCCACCCATCTCTATCTGCATCTCCTCCTTTTGGCATTTCTTTCCTTTCCAAAATCCCAGCCACACCCAGTCTCCTCTCTGTTGAAGAAGAAGAAAACAGGGTGAGAGAAGACTCTCATGTCAAGTTAGAAGAAGGAGGAGGAGGAAGGAGATCCGAATCCCACCCACAACCAGTCTCCTCTCTGTTGAAGAAGAAGACAACAGGGAGAGAGAAGACTCTCATATCAAGTCAGAAGGAGGAGGAGGAGGAAGGAGATCCGATCAAGGCCGTCGATGGCAGCGAGGGGAAATCCGGTGATGGCGGCGACGGGAAGGTCTTCCATGGACGCCAGTGATAGTTCCGGCGACTTAGGTAAGAGGCGTTTTCCTTTTTTAGATATTTGTAACTCGTTTTTGTTTTGATGCTTATTGTTTTATTTATGGGTTCTCGATCAGGAAGAGGGAAGGAGAAAGATGTGAACGTCGATGGCGGCGACGGGAAGGTTTGTCGTCTGAATTATTTCATTTGGGTGTCTACCTCCCCCTTCTTTCGACTTTCTTCTTCTCCTTTTGGTCAACTTCTCTGGTGTACCATTTTTCACTTTTATTGATGTCTCCACCTGATCAACTTGCCTTTTGCTCCGGATCTGACTGGCCGTCCACAGGTCTCTCGCTCCCTTCTGCCTTGTAGCAGCGGAATGAATGATGCCAGTAAGTCTGCTTCGTAGATCAGCTTCTCTCTTTTTACTCATCTTCTCTGTTAATATTAGTTTCGCTTCTATTTCATTCTCACTTTGTCCTCCCTTTTTCTTTTGTCTGGCGATTTGATTGATATATGCCGTATTTTATCAATAAGTTTTGCTGGTGTGACCTAACAGATCTCCTGTGTTTTCTCTCTCGCTGGAAGATAGTGTAGAAGGAGCGGAGGAGGAGGAGGGAGAAGAAGAAGAAGCGTCAAGAAGAGGAACAAGGGGTATGTCTAGCCAGTAATTTTTTTTTTGGTAATTCATCTTTTATTTACATGGATACCTTATCTGAATATATACCTTTTTTCCTGTGCCCTTGACCATATATAGCTTCAGCTTCATAAGGTTGCTTTTCTTTGTCCCCAAATTGGTCCGGATTAGTTTAGTATTTTGATTAAAGTCTTAATGTGTGCTTGGGGTGGGGGATTAATTGTCGAAATCCATTTTGCCTCTAATCCAGCCTATGCCAGTTGCACAGACAGCATCAAGTCTCTTGCTTTCTTTCCTCGAAGAAGAGGAAGAGCAAGGAAGTGGAAAGATGAATAGGTTAAAATTAATACATTATTAGAGGGCCCTTTAAGTTTATAATTCCAGGATCAGTTTACAGGTGTGTGATAAGCTTTTGGGGGATTAAAGCGTGCTTTTGAGTTATAAGTTTACAATTCCACATTAAGTAAAATTAATACATTATTATTAGAATGCCCTTGAAGTTTACAGTTTTAGGCTTAGCATGAGAATACCTATATATTTCCAAACTCAGGTTGTTTGTCAAAGTGTTACCATGTTATAGTTAGTCCTCATCCTCTGATGAATACATAGTCTTCCTAACAATAATATTTTCCTGATATTTTGGTGCTTAGAATGTTAAATCAATCGTAGTTTATCACGATGCCTCCTGGGATGACGTGCGCTTCGCCGGAGATTGTCACGGCAGAGGAAACATGCCCTGCCGTTGGCGAAGGGGCAATTTTCAAGAAGCTCTTAGGTAAGTTCTTTTGTGGATTTATCTTCCTTTTTGGTTTTGTGCTTAATTAATCGGACTTTTTCCTTTTGGGGTTTTGAGTTCAGACAGGATGCAGGATAAGGGAGGAACTATCGCCGGTGTGGATTTCAGAAGGCAAGAGAGGCAACTAGGGCTAGCCGCTGCTCTCTAGGTAAGCTTCCCCTTTTTGGGGTTTGGTTCTGTTTGTATTTGGGGTTTTGCCTTTCTTTGAACTGGTTCTTATATGTTTTAATATTTGATTCCAGCCAAGGGAAGAGTAGGAATAAGTCGTCATCGGCGATCCTCACCCTTGCCGACGAACAGCAGCGACATAGCTTGCTGGCAGAGGTACAAAATGTGTCTAGGGTAACTTTGTAGTTTCCTGTATATATGTTGATTCAATTTCCCCTGAATAGATTTGGATTTGGCCTTTTTTTTACTTTGTTTCGTAGGGATTATGGTGGTTTCTTCAATATACAAATTGGGTCTTTTTAAGAATGTTGTTTGGAAATGTCAGATTACAATCCAGTAAATAAACAAAGTAATGAAGAAAGAAGGAGGATGAGAAAAATGAATGTTCATTTCTCTTTTATTCGGAGTTAGAAATCTCTCTCGCTTTATCTCTTTCACTTAAAGGCATTTGATGTTTTAACATAGGCTATGGGTTAGGCAACAGTTGGGCACAACTGAGGCGTCTACTGAAGCCGGAGAACCAATTTTGTGCTTGGTTGGTTATCGCAGCGGTAGCTATAATCGACAACACCTGCAGTATAGATGATAACGCTTGATTCCATTTATAACCTGTTCGAATGCAGATTGCTTTTCCCCCATGAAGTTCCGTAGTGGCAACTCCTTCACCAGTGAACAGGAGCAATGCAACAATGAGGAGTCCAATGTGGAAGCTCAAAACCCATGAAGTTGGGTACACTTTAGTCTTCTGCAATTTCATGTTCTTCTGTTTATAGACGATTTTTAATGTTTTCATTTTGGTGTGATCTATTTACAGTCTTCCACGCTCAGTTTGTGCATAACTCAAGTCTGTACTGAACGATGGCGGGTGCTGTTTCAGTTAGCAAGGTTAGCTTTTGGTCTTCCTATTACATTAAGTTGGCCTCGCATTTCGAGGTTCACCGCTTCTGCTGTTTATTCATGTTTCCCCACGTTACTTTTGCCATATAGTTTGCAACTGGAACTGTATTTAGGATGCCTTGATTATGTTTCTTTTCATTCTAGATATTGCCATTTTGTTGCTCGAGCTGCCGCCATTGCTTGAGAGAGAAGGAAGGCAGCTTTATGAGACGAATGTCAATTGGTTTTTGAGGTTTTTATTTATGGTGTTTTATATGTTGTTGATTTTGTACGTTTGCAGTTCTTATTGGAAAAGTAATTCTGAATTATCACCAATCTTCGCATCAGCATCTATCCTTGCATATATGTTTTCCCAATCCACTCAATTATCTCAAGCCATGTTCTTCTTCCTTGCTTTATAGCTTTAAATTCGTTTGTTTTTTAGGTTCTTTTTTGATGGCAAAGCACAAAAGACTGAAGGTAAAATGACTCTTGAGCAAAACCAAATGGTTTTCTGTTGCTCACATTACTATGCCACACTGGCTGTCGATCGTTGCTGATGTCGCCAGCCACCGCGAGAGCTCTCCTTTTACAGGTTCTCGGTTTTTTGGTTACTTCTAGCCCTTCCTCTTCCCATCTATTAAACTGAATCTCATCTCTCTTTATCTCTCTCTAGGTCTACTTTGAGGAAGAGAATGACGAAAAGAGTAAGGCCGACAAAGAAGAGCATGCCAGTACTTATTACTTGGCATGTCAAAAAAAATCGTAGGGTTTCTGTAACTTGGGGGATTTGACAGGCTTAAGCTATTGAATAGAGGAACAACAGAGGGAATGGTGAAGAATATCAGCAGCGATTCAGAAGGGTAGAGGATGGAATGGAGAGCTGGAAGTTCTTCAATCTGGTCTTCTTTTCCAATCTCTCGAGCAAAAATTCAGAAGGTGAGCTTCTGCTTTACTTTACTCTGTTAGCTGAATCTTTGTTTATCGGGTAAACGATTCAAAACTCTAACAAATACGGAGCTCTAACTAGAATCAATTGGGTTAAGGATGTGGTTTTACAGAAGGCGGATGGAGTCAATTGGTGCCATTTTTTGCTCCATGAACATAACTCTGTTAGGTTTCTTTGATTTGATTACTTGAAGATTTAGTATATTGATGATAAATATTAAATGGGTTTGTCCTTTTTACAGGGAAGAGTTTCAGCATATTGTCTATTGAAAAAATGCTCTGTGATGGTGCACTATTGTCTGCTCAACCTATCACTACCAAGCAATTGCTGATTGGGGTTCAACCATAACTAGCCTATTCCCTAGACGACCTTCTAACCCTCCATGATATGGACCGATCCAAGAAAGGATGAGCTAGAGAGAGGTTTGGTTTCTCCTTCTACTCTCCTGTATAAACATACTTCTTATATTTGAAAAAGGCATATATCCTATGTTATGTTTGTTTTCTTATAGGGTTTTGGTTGATGTTGAGCCGTTGGTTTTCTTCATGTGGTCATTGGTGGGACTCTTTGAAGCATAGCCATAGGTCAGAGGATGGGTGAGTATTGGTTTTGGTTCTGGCCAGGTAACAATGAAGGGTTGGTGTGCAGGGGAATGGCAGAGGGAAGATCGACATAGAAATCATGGGTTTTTTTCCGGCTAGGAGAATGGCGGGACTGCGATCTGGGGCCATAATAGGGGGATGGAGGATAAAAGGGTTTTACTAGCAGGCCACATCCTTTTTAAGAGCTTTCGTGCTTTTTAACAATGGAAAATTTAGTTACCGCAACGAGCAAAGTGAAGAATCCAAAACTTCAGTTACCACAGCCCATAAGGATGGACGAGGTTAAGGAAGAGGCTCGAGTTTGGGGTAAGTACTACATTTTGTTTATTTAATTAGAGCCTTGCACTTTTCTTATGCCATGTTTTTATTTGATATGTATAATGACCTTCTTTGCTTCATACTCCAGTTTGACAAGATCGCTGCTTGGGGAAAGAAGTTGAGATAAGGCCTCAGTACCTACCGTTTCATCCATGTCCGTGTCTTACAGTAGGTCTGCCCCAGGTCTGAAAAGGCATCCCAGCCAATCAGCTCCACCAACTAAAGCCGAGACTACTACTACCATCTTGATTGCTAATTATCATGATCATGCTTCGGTCAGTTTGCCTTCCATGCTGAAATCTTCCTCTTTTGTGCTTCAATTTATGTTTCTGTGATTGCATAAGAACACGGTGAAGTTGTTCACTAGGCCGTGAGCTTGAGATGTATGTTTTTTTATTGGTTTAGGGTGTGACTTGCTAGCAAATGTTTCAGTCTGATGGACAATGATGGTCATGTATCATCGATTTAGTAGGACATCTAGATTGGAACCTCTTCATCCTTTAATACTCTCATATAGATCTAATTTAGAAGTTAGAGAATGCTTTCTGCGTTGAGTTCTGCAGTAGGGGGAAACAACGACGGAGAGGTCCTGCACTCTTGTGTGTCTCTAGAGTGAGTAGGATTGAGCGGGCCTCGGGCTTGCAAGAATAGAAAGGGGATGAGGCTTGAAGGAATCTCCGACACCAGAAAGATAGTTTCTTTATGGGAATTTTGGGTTGATTTGGATAGCCATTTATTTAGTTTCCTGTAGCCAGGGCAAGCCTCCACTAGCCTATTTGCTTGAGTTTGTTGTGTTGTCCTTTGCTGACTTTTAGGTGTTATTCTTTGCTGACTTTTAGTGGTTATCAAGATC